GCAGGGACTAGTCCAGGGAGTTGCCAGGAGTCAACACTGACTTGAAGGCACACACAGCTAACAGCTAGATACTTCCCACTGGTCCTCCTCTGCAAAGTCATCATAGGAATGTGCAAGTTTTTTTAAGAAACGTGCTTAGTGTTAGAACATAAGTAGGTCTAAGAATGGGATGTGAATAAGTATATTTTTTAAAATAGTATAGATAATATAGTTTGTCTGTATTCTGGACTGTTAACAAATTTAGATATGAGGACATTCAAAGAATATTAAAAGGACAGTGTGTGTTGCAAGTTTTTGTTTTTTTTTTTAAGTTTCAGAATAAGCCTATCAGTTTTAGGCTTATTAGCAGTCTATTTTTCTTTTACTTCTGATCCTGCTTTCTTTATAATTGTTAGAATAATAAATGTTTGCCATTTCCAACATTCACTTATTTTGTTGTTTCTTTTAGAATGATCAGGTTCTCCAGGGTTTTGCTGTGGACAAAGGAGAATTTACCTGTCCTCTGTGTAGGCAGTTTGCCAATAGTGTTCTTCCTTGTTATCCTGGCAACAATGTAGAGCGAAGCCTTTCTCAGTGTCACAGTACCAAAAATATGCAAGAGCTCATCAAGGAGGTGGAAGAACTTCAAGAGCAGCTGGGAACTTTCCCAGTAAGCATCAGTGTAAGGCAGAAAGATCCTTGTTAATTTGTCTTTCCACCTTATTTCTCTTTCTCTCCTCATAATTCATCACCTGTACTGTAAAATTTAAGAAATTGAACGTTCTCTCCCATTTCTCCATTAAACGTAAGAGTTCAGTAAAATTAAAATTTCAACAGTTAAATTCCACTATGTTACCTTTAAAATAAAATTATGATTATCTCAGCAGTTTGCTGTTGCATTTTAAAATACGTATTTATTGGTTATTAAATCCATGCTTTCCAGCTCCTTTTCATAGAACTAAACAGTATTTCAATAAATGTTATAATTGTATAAAGTGACTGCATTTCTGACTGAAAGCTATTTAAAATGTTCCAGTTAAGAATATTTATCATTATGGATTATTCATTTTATCGTAACTTTTATATGTAGTTGTATACATTTTGAAGTTTTATAATGACATTCAAAAATACATTGTTTCAGTTACAAGGTTTAGGCTACAATTTATCCAAATTTATCTGGAAATAAATTACCATTACTTACTTTTGAGTAGACATTATAATATTTATTAATATGTTCTGACTTCGGGGTTTTTTTTTTTTAGTTTGCACTGCTTAGCTTTTAAAAGAATAGAGCCTTTTTTATTAAAGCGAAATTTATGTTTTGTATTCTATTATTTGTACTGATTTAAAAAACAATAATATAATAAAATATTAATATGTCCAATCTTAATGAAAAGCTAGCATGTTGGAAGCGTGTTGTTTTAAAATTTCTCTATGGACTCCAGAACATCTTCCTGTTAAGATTTAATGTGATGTTGTATGATGCTGTTTAATATTTCAGTGTCTTATATTTGCAGAACTCATTCTGTGTGTTCTTTTGCTGTTATTGTCATTAGTGTAGCTAAATAAATTCAAACCTTCCTTTTTTTTTAACAGTCAGAAACCAATTTAAGTAAAGAAATGGAGTCAGTGATGAAAGATATTAAAAATACTACCCAGAAAAAATCTACTGACTACAGCAAGACACCTGGATCACCAGACAATGACTTTCTTTTCATGTACTCTGTAGCCAGGTACGTAGAACACTGTTCCTTCTATTTGTCACTTATTCAGTTGCCTTATTGGACAACCCTAGACTTAAAAGTTTATGGAATGAGGAAATGTAGGTACAACATGGGATGAATAAACAAGTGTTTGGATGAACTTTACCAAGCATTTTCTATGCATCCTTGGTAATAAAAATGAAAACCATCCAAAAGAATTTTACCAGACTGTGTCACGGACATTTTCACAAATTTTGATATCGCAGTTGATTTATCCTCAAAGTATCTTGGAAATATTTTTTTACAGTTTTTATGAATTTATTATTCTTTTGTGGGCCACCCAGGATTATGGTAAATAAGACGGACAGCTATATAAGTCTTTAAATAACATAAACACGTCACAGTGTGTTGTTTGAGGATTCTATTAAAACTGCCAAGAGCTGTAAATCTTTGGAAAATCTTCACTGGGTAGATGCAATTGCAGAGAAACAGTATTGTTTTAATGAAAAGCTAGCATGTTGGAAGCGTGTTGTTTTAAATCACAATTGTAGCTTGATAGTGTTTAATTGTTAAAGAGGCATTAAACGTTCCAAATTCTAGTAGTTCCTATTATTATATTATAGCCTGCCCCACGTGTTCAGAATAGATGCTTTGTAACCCTTTTGTAGCTTTTCTTGCCACAGTGATTTTTTTTTTTTATTTTGACACTGCTAGGTACTTTGAATGTCAGTAGAGTTGTCTCATGGCATACCTGCACATAGTCTTTGCATGGTACATCAAAGTTATTAATGGATGTATTTCAGGAAGATGAGTAACCTTTTCTT